TATATATATATACTGCAAGGTGTTATTTATTTTTGTCTCTGTGGCAAATAAATTGGGAATACGAGCAGTGAGATTAAAATGTCTCAAATGCAGAAACTGAACTGCAGTCACTAAATGTAGAGATTAGAAATTTTACCAGATTTATTTATTTTTTTTAATGTAAGAGACAAAATACAGTGGATACAGTAAATACAGTCGCTGTATTTTTTTTTCTTGTTTTTGGCAGCTGGATGTTAATAAAGTAGAAATGAATGACTGTATAAGTAGGTCGCACTGGAGCAAAACAAACAAACAAACAAACAAAAAAAACACAAAAAAAACCAATGTGGGTTCAATTATCCCGACGGGCTTAAATGTCAGATTTTAGTGCTCGTCTCTATAAAAATCTTGCACCTGTACAAACAGCTGGTAAACTGTCTGATCTGAACATTTTGTTTTGTGTTGATCGCGAATTATGAAAAAAAAGAAAAAATAAATAAATAAATAAGCGAACTGGGCAAGCAGTAACAAAAAGGCTGTCAGTGTAAACACACAGATAGTAGTACAGTGAGTCACAAGTGTGTGTGTGTGTGTGTGTGTGTATACATACGGTCTAGAATAGAGGCTGTAGGGTGGAGGGGACACCATCATCTGGCTCAGTAATGATACTAAAATTAGGACCACGATGGGCATCAGTTGGATGAACATTGAAAAACCGCCCTAGGAACAAACAGAAATAAGTAAATATAAAACACATGCATTAAAAATAACAAAGAAATAAAAAAGAGGAAAATAAAAAATAAAATAAAGACATACATCTCCCCTTTCCTCTGTCCTCTCTTGTCTGTAGTCCGTCTGATGGCTGTAGCTCGTCCTCCCGTTAGTGAACGTGTGTGCATTAGCTGTGATGTCAGAAACATTACGACATCATCAAACCAGCTCCACCAGCTGACAAGGTCAACACTGAGATCTAAACAGCCTTTTAGCTCATTTTAGATTTTAAAACTCACAGGATGGGAAGCCGCCTCCAAAGAACATGTTGAAGAGGTCTTCAGGTGTGATGTCGGCTTCAAAGCCCCTGTGGAAGTCAAAGCCTCTGTGTGATTGGCTCTGGCTGCTCGGCTCCTCCCCACCCGTCAGGTCGTACTGCCGTCTCTTGTCTGGGTTGCTGAGCACGGCGTAGGCGTTGCCAATCTCTGGAGAGAAAAAATTCAATTAGTGAAAAAAAAAAATTTATTTGACAATTTAGTTTAACTGCTTGATATGTCCAGGTCATGTTTGTAAATGAGAAGTGGTTAAATAAATAAATAAATAAATAAATAAATAAATAAATAAATAAATATGTTCTCTCTCTAGTACAATTTTAAAATACCTTTTATCTTATATATAAGATCATAAAAGCTAAAAGAAGCCCAAATCTTGATTTTGTTCCTTACTTAAGAGCAAACAAACAGGTTGTAAAACTAAATATCAAGTACACATCAACACAGACATGACCTGCATAATAAAGCTTTAGCCAAAATGCTGAGACACATTTAGCTAAAAATTAAGTTGAGATAAAGTTACACATTGGGCTCTGAGAGCCTGTTTTTAACACAAACTTGGACAACAATGAATCAAGATAAAAACATACAATGGTATTCATTTTTCAGATGACTGAATAATTCAAGCAATTGATAGAATAGTTTTAAATGGCCTTAGAAGTATCAGTAAAACTGAAATTATTTTGGAAGAAAGTTTAGTTAAAAGTAGTTACTTTTAAAGGCCTCTGTTGCTCCGGGTGCGTGGTTTTTGTCTGGATGAAACTTTAGAGCTAATTTCCTGTAGGCTTTCTTCAGCTCCTCGTCATTAGCTTCCTTGTTGACACTAAGTACTTCATAATAGTCCTTACACCGCTTTATTCTGAAAGGCAAGAACAAGAAAAACAATCAAAAAATAAACAAAAGCTACGATGGCTTACTCTGCAGCCAGGTGACAAATTCATATTTTTTGTTTGCTCTTTACATTTAGTGTTTTTTGTAACCTTCTGAAATCCAGCAAGTACATGCATACATCATGTCCTCAGTCACACAGATAAAAAAATAACATTGAGCAAACCCACAAAAACATGGAGTGCTTGTCTGTAAACTATGTCATCTAGTTAAACATGTTCTGTTCCTCCAGTCTCATGGTGTAGGATTAAAACAGGCAGTGGTTGCCTGGTATCCATCTCACACTGCTAAATGTGTCTCACACTCCCTCATGGGAGAAAGGCAAATAAATTGAGGTTCCTATAGCAATAGGTGCATGTGCACCACACTGCTGATACGAATGTGTCTTCATTTAGTAACAAACAGGCTTTCCACTTGTTCAAAAATAAAAACAAGGACAAAAACAGCCCACAGACCACAATGCCAGTCTGTAGAGACTCTCACCTCTGCACACCTTCCACCTGGTCTGGAGTGAAGCCTTTTGCAGAGTCACTCCCTCCAGTTTCTTGGTTCTGTCTTCCTGTTTTGGTACCAGTCGTTTCTGAGTGCTCTGATGGTTTCCTGCAGTGTGCACCATTACTTGCTGAGCTCCCATTCTTTGTTAAAGCATCCAACAAAACTATGGAGAAAGAGGAAAAACAGCGTCAATTATTACCTTTATTCATTTCTTTAAAAGTAACAAAATAAATTGTATATACAATAAAAAATACAAATCGTAAATAAAATGAAAGGCAGCAGAAAGAAGAAAAAAATCGTATTATATCTGCTGCTTTTTCTCAAAAAATAAAATTCAAATAATAATAATTTACAAAAAACATCAAATCCTTGTCGAACAACAGTTCGTATGGATACACATTACACTATTTCATATTTCTTTAACACATTGACTGTTATTCTCTTTAACATAAACATTGATCCAGCATTTTTAACATCACTCTCCAGATTATTCCATAAACTTATTCCCTGTATAGTACACCGCTCCTTCAAACTAGTTCAAAATTTAAGTTTCACAAACATCTCTACTCCTTTAAGAACTTATAATAACTCTTTCATCACAACTCTTTCTCTTAACAAGTTTTAATTGGATGTTTAAAGTTAATATGCTTTTGTGAGCCTTATAACATGTAAAATATTAAATCAACAAACTCATGGAATTTCCATAATTTCAACTGATAAAATAATATATTTGATGATGAATGTAATGTTTTCTAGTGATGATTCTTACAGGTCTTTTCTTTAAAACAAAAATAGGGTTTGTAATTGTTTTACAAATAACAATCAAGAGTCAGGATCAAAGCTTTCAATGTTCTTGAAGTGGCTAAATTGCATTTTTAAGTGAACATAGGCATCTAATTTGTCACTTAATTTTGATTTATGTATTGTTACTGTCATGTTATGTAAAAATCATGACTCAGGAACAGAGTACTGCCAGATAAATTTCTTTCTTGAACTCAGTGGGTTGAGAATTATTTTTTTATTTATTTGTTTATTTCTTTTACATTTTAGCACTACTGTCATGGTAGCTGCTCACCCACAACAGTGGCATCCTTATAAATTAGTGTAAAAATAAAAAATAAACCTCTGAAAGCTTAAAAATCGGTTTAAAGGGAGCTGTGTGGGACTTGTCACAACTGAGCCTTGAAAGTTGGCTAAAATGATCAAAGGTGCCCACAAAGACTGTGCGTAAGCAGCCACTACACATCAGAACCAGCCATTTTGACTGTTTTTCCTCACAAGCTCAATTTGCTCTGTTCCAGAGGAAATAACTGAGGGTTAATCCTTTTTCACAAACAGACACACATAAAACAATGCTAATATTGCTATGCCCCTATTTTTTCTGCTTCATTGAAATCCCTAAAATGTTCATACACACTACATAAATTTGTCAGGTTTGCTTTTATAAAACTGTGTCTACTCTTGGAAGCTTTAAGGCTGACAATAAAAACAACTAAAGCTATTGATGTTGTTCCTTACATGGCAAAAATATACATGATTTATTAGATTATGTTTCATTTCTCCAGTGTTTCTTATAACCAAGCCAGTCAGCTTCCTGTGAACAAACACTGAAAGATCAGGATGTGAATGACGCAGACAACACACAATAAAGGCAATAAAGTACATCTACTGACATGTCACACTTCAACAACAGACTAGTTGCTTTTCATCGATGGGTAAAGTCACTGTGAGCGACTACAGAGTCCCCAAACTACAGGTGCTGGTCATAAAATTAGAATGTTACGAAAAAGTAGATTTATTTCAGTAATTCCATTTAAAAAGTGAAACTTGTATATTATATTCATACATTACATACAAACTCATATATTTCAAATGTTTATTTCGTTTAATTTTGATGATTACAAATGACAACAAATGAAAATCTCAAATTCAGCATATCAGAAAATTAGAATCTTGTGAAAAGGTTCAAAATGGATGGCACCTGATACCACACTCTAATCAGCTAATTAACTCAAACCACCTGCAAAGGCCTTTAAATGGTCTTTCAGTCTAGTTCTATAGGCTACACAATCATGGGGAAGACTGCTGACTTGACAGTTGTCCAAAAGACGACCATCGACACCTTGCACAAGGAGGGCAAGACACAAAAGGTCATCGCTAAAGAGGCTGGCTGTTCACAGAGCTCTGTGTCCAAGCACATTAATAGAGAGGCGAAGGGAAGGAAAAGATGTGGTCGAAAAAAATGTAAAAGCAAGAGAGATAACCGCACCCTGGAGAGGATTGTGAAACAAAACCCATTCAAAAATGTGGGGGAGATTCACAAAGAGTGGACTGCAGCTGGAGTGAGTKCTTCAAGAACCACCACACACAGACGTATGAAAGACATGGCTTTCTGCTGTCGCATTCCTTGTGTCAAGCCACTCTTGAACCACAGACAGCGTCAGAAGCGTCTTGCCTGGGCTACAGAGAAACAGGACTGGACTGCTGGTGARTGGTCCAAAGTCATGTTCTCTGATGAAAGTAAATTTTGCATTTCCTTTGGAAATCAAGGTCCCAGAGTCTGGAGGAAAAGAAGAGAGGCACTTCATCCACGTTGCTTGAAGTCCAGTGTAAAGTTTCCACAGTCAGTGATGGTTTGGGGTGCCATGTCATCTGCTGGTGTTGGTCCATTGTGTTTTCTGAGGTCCAGGGTCAACGCAGCCACATACCAGGAAGTTTTAGAGCACTTCATGCTTCCTGCTGCTGACCAACTTTTTGGAGATGCAGATTTCATTTTCCAACAGGACTTGGCACCTGCACACAGTGCCAAAGCTACCAGTACCTGGTTGAAGGACCATGGTATCCCTGTTCTTAATTGGCCAGCAAACTCTCCTGACCTTAACCCCATAGAAAATCTATGGGGTATTGTGAAGAAGAAGATGCAATACACCAGACCCAACAATTCAGAAGAGCTAAAAGCCACTATTAGAGCAACCTGGGCTATCATAACACCTGAGCAGTGCCACAGACTGATCGACTCCATGCCACGCCGCATTGCTGCAGTAATACAGGCCAAAGGAGCCACAACTAAATACTGAGTGCTGTACATGCTCATACTTTTCATGTTCATACTTTTCAGTTGGCCAACATTTCTATAAATCCTTTGTTTTTATTGGTCTTCAGTAATATTCTAATTTTCTGATATGCTGAATTTGAGATTTTCATTTGTTGTCATTTGTAATCATCAAAATTAAACGAAATAAACATTTGAAATATATGAGTTTGTATGTAATGTATGAATATAATATGCAAGTTTCACTTTTTAAATGGAATTACTGAAATAAATCTACTTTTTCATGATATTCTAATTTTATGACCAGCACCTGTACAATCTAGTCCTTATAGCAGCAGAAATCTGGCATCTTGTTTGTCCAGGATAAGCCTGTGTTTAAAGGCTCTCTCTGGGTCAATCATTCAATTAAAGGATTGGCAATCCCTCCTTCAGCTTCTATAACCAACTATTACCTGGCCAAGGTGATGGGTTGAAGTGAAAGTAAAATGACAAATTATTATGTTATGGGTTGGGATACGCACTGTCTCCCACGTAAAGAAAAAAAAAAAGATTTACTTTGAATGGCGTTCACATTTGAGCTGGTTTTTGCCCAGATACACAACCAGACAAGAGTTGTAGCGAACACGCGTTTGTAAAACAGCACAACTTTCTGTAGAATAGCAGGACAAGCTAGGTTAATAGCTGTAGGCCAACATTTAGTTTAGCTACTGAGCTAAGTGACGCTTCATTTATACTCACTAAACCAGTTTATTTCTCTCTATCGTTACGTAATTATATAAGTATTTATAATATAGCCATTTTTTATTCTACATTTAAGGATGAACCGCGGAGAAGCTTCGCTGTAAATTAAATTACGAAACATTAGCTAGATGATGCTAACACCGGAGGCTTCGACTTCCGACAAAGTAATCAGAATCAGCCTCACCTTTGGCTCTGTCGGTTGGATACAACTTCTCTGCTTTGTTCAGAAACTTCAGGGCTTTCTCTTTGTCACCGGCTTCGAGGGCTTTCGTCGCTATTTTAATACATTTTTCGGCTTCATCTCGGTTCCCTTCCATCTTCTCTTTTCTCTTCTTCCACTAGCGGTCAGCTGAGATCAGGGTTGCCAGATAGAACATGACGAACGTGGGGTCGTTTTAAAACCTGTCGTATTTTGAGCAAAACTGTGGAAGAGAGAGTACACGCTTTATTTAGTGGGAGTGGGGGTGGGTGCAAACACTTTCTCTGTCAGCGGATAAGAAGGAGGGGGTGTCGTGATTGGCAGCAAAAATAGAAACGATCTATAGCAATGATTATCGCATATTTGGCAACGCTGGCTGATATAAACCACGTGCTCAATAGCGCTGACAGGCTCATTCATGTATGGCAAGTCGTGGTAGCATATAATCACATCACCGTACTACAGTAGCATTCCTCCTTAAAGTGGCCTGTCCCCTGACATTGGATTAAAAATGTTTCTCGTGGCCACACAATAATAAAGCATTTTGGACAAATACAACTGTCACTTTTGTCTTATAGCCTCAACATATAATGCCTAACATAAGTGACTGAAGTATGTCATTCATTCATATAAAATAAAATTGTTACAAACTTGTCCATGCAAACAATAAAATATAAACAAACAAAACATATAAAAATATAAAACTAACAAAAATATATAGAACTGAAAAAATCACGGATGATGAAGAAATTAAGAAACCAATATTAAGTTTTTTATTGAAGTGAGAAAAAAAAACAGTCTCTGCATGAAAATGACTGCAACAATTATTGTGTGGCCACACATCCCATGGTCTCAACATAAATATCAGTAATGCATGTCCACAGGATACATTTATTTTATCCAATGTGACCGGACAGGCTCTGTCCCTCCTAATGAAAAACTTTACTAATTACTAAAAATTAAGCAAAACAAGATGTTACACTTATTTATTCACACAAATGGCACACTTGGCGTTGTTATTGTTATGCAGAAATGGTTTAGTTACAACTGCTTTGAAGACACAATGAGAGCTAGGCTAAAAAAATAAAGACAGTTTTCCCCCTGAAACTCCCCACTAATCAGAAGTGAAGAAGCTGTTTGAATAGGAGGTAAAAAAAATATTCAGGGACTGAGATAGTTGTTTTCAAGCAATTGGGGATATTCAAGTGTTTGTGATTTTTTTTCCAGGTGAAGCAGGACTTACTGCAGTTAAATGTTATTATTATTGTTGGGCTAATTGGTTTTGCATCACTGAGCATGCCCGTCACTGAGACGCCACAACTAATCAGCATTAGTCTATACGAAAATAGTTATAACTCAGTCAATTTTGCAAATATTAAGCTAAAATGAGATGTGAAATTGGTTTAAATTTATCTGACCCTGACACATACTCTGAACATGACATCTAATATCACAAGTCTGCATATCAAGTTGTTTTCAAGTTTTGACCAAAACGCCTATGTTGTCATAATTTCTTAACGTAAGCTGATCTTAGTCTAGCCTGGCCCTTGCCTTCCCACGCAGTTCCGCAAAGTGAAGGACAAGGATCTGCTGGTGTTTACCAGGCTAATCTTAGTCTAAAACTGGCCTGAAAGGTGGCAGGCAACATGCATTCCTTCAAGGATTACTAGACCCATAATTAAAATTCAAACTTAGTTCATAGCTGGAAAAAATGACCATTTGGATTTTTACCTGCAGTGTGCATTTGTGGTTACAAATCTATGTGGATATGTTCTGTGTTGTTAGCAATGTTCTTTTTTGAGTCATCAGACAGCACCCTCAGCAGGGACAGTGCCCAGTGCAGAAAACCTTAGTTGTGATTTTAAACTTAAAACTCAGTTTTATGTTAACACATTTTTACCAGTTTTGCTAAATTAAGAACACATATTACTGCTCAATACCCAAAAAAAACAGTGTTAGTGATAAAAATGTAATATTTTAATCTCAGAAAATACAAATGTGAAAATCACTGAATGTATCCAGTTTATTTGGGGATTTTATAAAATAATAATTTGTAGCTAATTAGTATAACTTTCAGGTAGACGTTAAAAACATCAATCTATGCTTCAAAATCTAAAAAAAATTATAAAGTCGACTTTCAAAAAGAAGGTGTGTCTTGTAAGCATGTTACAGCTGAAATATTTTATTCACACTTAAGAGCTGAAGGTAGCTGGTAAGATTTGGGTTGCGTTGGATCCATTTGTCAGTTTTCTTGCCACATGTTCTTCAGGCAGGTGTGCGTGATGGAGGGAGTTTGGCTTCAAATGAGCCCATGGTGTTGAGAGCTGCATGGATGCGGAAGTGTAGCCTTGACTCCATACTGTAGTCTCTGTAGTTCATCCTGCAAACATGGATCACTTGATCAGCTAGCACACAAACTAGAACAGATATATAGACTGTATGGTTCCAAACAGAATACTCGGGGAAGAGGATTTTTCTCTCGTCTTAAATACCTGGCTGAAAACATGCACTCACCTGGCATTTTCTATGACTGTGATGGCTGTTTGGATGTCTCCTTTCTGCTTGTGCAACAAACCCAGCTCATACATCGTAAACGGCACCAGATATGTGTCATGCTTGATCTTCTTTTCGCTGGAAAATAAATCATGAAGTTTAAAAAAAATGTAATAAATCTCACTTTGCAAGTATTATGTTCCGTTTTTATTACAGTCCTGCCCCACCCCCCACCCACACACACACACACACACAGCTACAAGAACTATGGCAAAGACAACCACAGAAAGTAGGGTTGCTTTTCATAAACAAATAACATGTATTTTCTAAAGTAGTTAGTAGTGTCATCTCCAGAAGAATACGTTTCCTCCCACAGACCGAAAACATCCATATTAGGTTAATTAGTAACTCTAAATGATCCCTTGGTGAAAACTCAAAATAGAAAATTAAAATCTTACTTCTAAATGTACAACACTATTAAAAAAACCAAGCACCATCTTACAATAGAGATCTTATTGTGACAAGACAAAGCGAAAGGTTGGCACAATCATTTGGTTTTTTATTAGATAGATAACTTGCATTAATTGGCATTTTATAAATGACTGTATCTGCCTGGACTGTATCAGAATTGACAGTAATTAGAACTGAATCGGGATCTGAATTGAATTTCTTTTTTGGACTTGTTTTAGTACAGTGCCCTGAGAAGACTATATTGTGAACTTGCACTATATAAATAAATTGAATTACATTAAAAGTTTGCTGATTTTTTAAAATTAGATCCTATTTGTGTTGAGGCAGCTTTGGGATCAACTCACCTGGAAATGACATAGTTGAAACAGATCTCAGCTTGTACCAGGCGTCCCAGCTGAGTTAGACACAGGCCCTTGAGCAGCTGCACGACACACAGATCATCCAGGTGGTACTCCGATGGTGCTACGCATCACACACATACTTTTAGTTTCATTTGCATTAAAGAGTTTTTTTTTTTGTTAAATTTGGTTATCTCACCTGGATTATTTTGGAGCTGCTCCTCTGCTTTGTCTAAAGTAGACAGAATGTTTTCAGTCAGGTCAGGCCTTTTCCCGACTACTTTGAAACCATTCCACACATACATCATTTCCTGTATGAGAAGATGGCTTATTTTAGCAAAGAAGGCTCATGTTTGACTGACATATTGGGCACATGAGCTCACCAATGCAGGGACGACAAGTTTCCCAGGATTCACAGAAGAGTATCTCTGAGCTTTCTTCGCAGCAAACTTCTCTGTTGGAATTGATTTCCCTGCAAGTCTTATTCTGAGGCCATCCACCTGCCTACAAAACATAATTTATTCAGTTTGTTTATAAAATGTACGCATACTCATGTAATGAAGAATTGTTCATGTTATTACACACCTGAATAAAGTCACTATATTCTCCCCCAGTTTAGTTACTTCTTCTTCTGGGAGCATGCTCAAGATGGCAGCTTTCTGAAACACATAAGTGGCCTAGAAAAGAAGTGACAGTTTGGGTGGTGTCAGCAGACAAGAATAAAATGAACTTTTAAAAATAGAGGAAAATTTACACAATACAGCTGTGGTCAGAAATTTACACACACACTCATTATGGGCTTGAAACTGGCCACAATGTCCAGAACAACCCAGAAATCACCAAGGCTCAAGCCTGCCATAAATACCAGAACACCGGTGTCATTCACTGTGAAGTTTTACTTTGTAATGGATTGAGAGGATACCAACCAATATAAATAAACAAACAAACAAATAAATAAATAAGTGAAGCACATCTAAAGCTGGCCACAGTCTCGCCAAATGTCCTCTGCATAAAGACAACAATTGAGCTCTTTGACCACAGTGACAAGGAGAGGCTTTCAAACCTACAAATAATGAATCAACTGCTAAGCATGGGAGGGGGGGGGGTGGTAGCCATCCAATGGGTTGGGTTTGAACATGGGCGTATTTCAGCAAGACATAGATTCAAACTAGTGGATTATAAAAACTAGGTCTGTGTCAGAAAACCAACCAATTTAAATTAATTTGATCAATTCTGCCAAGAAAAGTAATCAAAAATCCAGCAATAATTATTCCAGAAGCTTGTTGATGGCTACATAAACTGAGTATGTAAGACTCAACTTGCAAAAAGGCATTTCATGGAATATTAGTGGCACATGTTTAATTTGAAGCCAGTTTGTATACCATAGAGCTAGTGTGGATTAAAGGACATTCACAATAAACTCAAACTTGTGCACCAGTTCTTGTTTTTAGAACTCTTATGGTTGTTTCTAATCATTCCCACCTGGACAAAAGGTTCAAATCAGTTATTAAAACTCAGAATTGAGATAACAGTTATGCCCATGATGAGTGTATGTAAACCTCTGACTGTAACCGTACCTGGGACCACTTGTTCTCCCTGCAGAGCAGGTCGACATATCGATACGCCTCCATCCAGTTTTGTTCAAAGGAGTAGGCCCACATCAGCTCCCAGTAGCACAGGTGGTGAATCTGACGCCACTCTTGCTGAGTTGAAATGCACGCCAGGAACTTCTCCTGGGCCTGCAGAGAAGTCCAATGTGGCTGAGTATCAGTTTAAGTTCACAAAAGGTTATAAGTGCATAAAATTAGACAACAGAATCACTTACAAATGTGAAGTTCCCTCTCAGTACAGCTATTCGTGCAGTGTAGAAAAGCATGAGAGCTCCCTGTGGGGAAAAATACTTTAAATCAGCTCAAATAACTAGTTTAAGAAACAAGGAAATACACCACCATGGATCAGCATCATTGCTTACATTTGGGAATTTATCAGCAAATGGTTTTAGCAGAGCATCAGCCTCAGTGAGATTTACGTCTCCAGTTCCTGAGGGAAGAATCCATCACTTTTATACCATTACAACCTCAAATAATCCAATATTAAACAGATTAAAAGAAACTAGAAAATGCTCACCAAGTGTGACTGTGATGTAGAGATGAAACATCAGCAGAGTCAGAGTGCTGAGGATGGAACGGAGGCTGCTGCTTGTTGCTCCCTCCCTCAGCTCGAACAATCCAAGCTCCTGCAAAATCAGTCAGCAATTTATTCTCCTGCTGTCCTGAGATTAATGTTACATCCTGAGCAGACAGAGGTTCTGTGCTGCACAGTGATGGTTCTTACCCTGTCTCCAGAGAAGCCCAGAAACTCCATCAGTCTGAGGACTCTGGATGGAAGCAGGGACAGGATCTGATAAATGCACACAGCTGATTGGTTAGTGCTCAAGGTGATTGGACTTCTCTTTTTTTTGGATCTTTGTGATACATGACCACTAATGGTTTTTAATTACTGATGCTGATTTTGATTGATTTGATTTATTGATTCAACAGGAAAAGATTATTAAAAATCAAGCCTGACTGAGCATAATTGCTGTTTTACAGCAGGTTCCTGTTCTGCAGCACATAAAACACTCAGAATTACAGCATCACAATCTCATTATACACCATAGACACAAAGACAAACAAGCATACCAAATTTCAAAAAGGCAGCATTTGCAAAATAGGACGTCTAAATATGAGCACAACAAAAAGTGTCCAGCAGATGGCAGACAAGATTCTTCTTAAAGGGCTGTAGTTTTGAAATGGACTTTATGTTTTGAGGATTTTAGGTTTATAAACCCTTTAAGGACATTTAAACATATAAAACTTGATCATAATTTCATGTTTTGGTCACCTTTCAACTTACAGTATAATGATAGTGAAAGAGTCAAATCCATTTTTTGCCTCACATTAGCTCTAAAAGATGATATACACAGGTGGACAAAATTGTTGGTACCCCTCGTTTAATGAAAGAAAAACCCACAATGGTCTCAGAAATAAACTAGAATCTGACAAAAGTAATAATCAATAAAAATTATATGAAAAAGAACAAATAAATTTTAGACATTGCTTTTCAACCACTAATTTCAGGGGTACCATCATTTCTGTCCAGGCCTGTTGTATGAGTTTTATTTTATTATTTTTTTTAATTATGTTGAAGCATGGCTGAAAAGAAATGTCTGACTTTCATTTATTATTACTTTTGTCAGATTCTAGTTATTTCTGTGACCATTGTGGGTTGTTCTTTCATTAAACGAGGGGTACCAACAATTTTGCCCGTGTGTGTGTGTCATAATTTTAATTTCAAGCAAATTAATTGTAAAAGCTCCAATTTTATTATTATTCACAACGATGTCACTTCTTACCAGATTAAAAGATCCAATGCCCATGTTGACCCCACCTCGAAAATGAACATGAGTACTCTTCTTCTTTTCCACATCTTTCATGGCGATTTCCATGGCCTGGCAGTTCCTAGTGTGCAGACAAATCTTGATTTACAATTTAGTTTGTTTGTTTCCAGTGTTTTTGTCTGTTGGAGATAATTACTGCACAGATATGCCCTAATTTCTTACTTGTAAATTTGATAACTGCTTCTCATCCCCATCCCTCCTTTGATGAAGCTGATTATATTGTCATCCAGGAACGTGAGTACGGCTTTCTGCATCAAAACTTCAGCGTAGCAAAGCTCTGCATGCATCTCCTCTGTCAATAACAGTCATAGGCAGTAGAAAGGAAGGAAAAGTCAAATCTATGTATTTAGAGAGGCAGCGTGTGACTGATGTGTGTCTTTCCCACTTTGCTGTACAAATACGGTACCAGTGATTTCCCTCCTTGTCAACTTGTAGTATTAATGAAAATGCATAATTGAAACATGTCCATTCACCTTCTGTCAAATTGTCAACTGGTTGTCCATGCCACAAGTTAACCAAGCTCTCCATTATTCCAACTTTTCTTCGAAACCTTAAGTTTAAAAAAAAAAGGGCAGTGTTAGACACAACCAGGAGTCACAACTTCTTTAGTTTTAAAATAAATCCTAAAATTCACTCTTTTAAACTATACCATTCCTAAAGTTATATAAATTTTGTTTATTAGAACTGTTTAAAACATATAGATATTGGACAGAAGGTTTCAACTTGATTTAATTTAAAACTTGTTTACCTCTTTAGTTTAATGCTCCAAGATTACTTATTTTTGCACTGATGCTATAAAAGTAAACTTTGATTAGTTATCTTCCTCTGGATATTAGTTTGCACCTCTGTGCTGCAGGATATTTTCTTCTTGGTTGCCCCAGTTTTTATTTTTCAGAATTTGAAAAGCATTTTATTGCTCATGTTCATCAAAACAATCATTTGCCTAATAAATGAGCACAAGGCTTAGAACATGTGGTTTGATGAAGCCGTACCTCTGGCAGACGTGCAAGGATTCGCAGAGTGACTCCATGGCTACATCCATGTCCTTTGGGTCAAAGGTCATGGCAGCCTGCATTAATAAGATGCTGCTGTAGCCCAATGCATGGTACATACTGTGGCTCTTCCTGAAGTACATAAATGAAACAAAACTCATTAAAACAGATGAAATTAAACGTTTTTTTACAGCATCAGTTAATTTTTTTCCACCACTTTGCCAACTTTTATGGATGTTCTGAAAACAAAAGGACTGCAGTCATGCAAGAGATTAGATTTTTGGAGGTAATTTTATCCTACTGTAGAGTCAAAGTTCTGTACATTTATGTCATCTAGGTCAGGTGAATGTGAAGGTTGTACCATTTATTGCAACATTTCCACAGTTATCTTTGTTTAAATAACATTCAGAGATCCTGGAAATGTGCTTTGATTTATTAATAAATCTAATTATAATAGGATGTCAAGTGCGAGTGAGGGAGGGAAAGGGGTGATACTTGTTCCTCCCATTATGAAAATAGAGGCACCAGGTCAGTTTACTGATCAGTAAGAGATTGCTTAATTTATTCAACCTTTTTAATAATCTGAACTCAATCACTGAAGTGGAATTCATATTAATATACGTTACCATAATCAATAAATGTTTACCACATGAGGAGGGTCCAATTTATCTTCTAAAATTTTATTACAATTTTCTTAAAATCAAAAATAGATCATATTAGATAAATTGAACTATTTTGATGAATTCTATTTGGTAGATTTGGGTGACTTGGACCCTGGTGTCAACTGATTTGGTTGAGACCAACTTATCCAGAAGGTCTCTCAGGAAGATGAGAAACAGACAGACAACAAAAAGTAAACCAAGTTGCTGTCACCCACCTCAAGGATTTTTCTACGGATCGTTATTAAATCAAGTTTGATAGGGCATTTATGGTTGACAATGGAAAAGCTTGGGATTTGTTTTGTTTTAACTCTTTCTGTCCAAGGACTCTTCACAACTAAAGCACATGTCACTTAAAGTGACGTTAATACTGCAAAGCAATAGCATAGAAAATGTATTGGAACACTTGAATCATACAATAAATCAATATTTGTGTTTCAAATATTAAATAATCAAATTAAACCATTTCATTTAATGATTTGTTCCCATCTAAATCTTCAAAGAAATATAAAGGCACTTTTTCAATCTAATTTAGTGTCTGGTACCCATGCAGATAACAGACGTTATTCCAGTGAAAATAACCAACTCTGAAGGAGGATTTTAGGTTGCTGGAAAAAAGTGATTCTTCATGCTAGACAGAACTATTCTGTGCAGCTTGATTTTAGAACAGATTACCAATTCACCAAACCACATTAAGAACTGATGAGATGATTTCTGAAGAAAATGTGAATCTTTGTTTTATGATTCTGGTTTCATCACAGCATGTGACAGTTTTTAAGCAGCAAATGTCTGTGACCTTGGATCTGTATTTTAATATAGTCCGTAATATTGGACTCATTTATATGTGAACTGTCATGAACATTTTAAAACCAAGCATGGGTCACTCCAGTAGTTGGCTACAGGAGTGACCCCCCACAAGCATCAGTGTGACTCACCGAGGTTTTAAAGCTGCCAAAGCGTCTGCAAACCTGTTGTTCAGAAAAAGATGGAGAGAAACCCTGCATTCCTCCAGAGCCGTCTCCAAATCTGTCCCAGGGGATCTGGATCAGGACATAAAACAAAAACTGGTATGAAAATACATTTAAGATAATACTAATGTGACTGTCTTTGTTTTAAATGCAGCAATCCACACGTTAATCACTGAATTTAATGCAAATATACCCACAAAAAAGTAGTTGCTGATATCAATTCTACTCACGTTTCATCTCCACCATAATCTTGATCCACCTAAAGGAAAACAAAATGCTTTGTTCAAACTTTCCAAAATATGTACATCACCCATTGTTTTTATTTAGCAAAATTAGTAGTTTTTTGTTACATTTGGTATTGTGTTCTCATTTAGTTTGTTTTGTTTCCCATTGTCTCCCTCTGTCATTCCTGCCCTCAGTTAAATGTTTTCACCTGCTTTCCATGTTCATCAGCCTCAGCTGCTTTACTTAACCCAAAATACCCATGCCTGCCTGTAGGCAGTTTAAACATGTTTTTAGACTGTGGGAGGAGAATAGAAAAGAAATCTAACTCAAAAGAGAGTATGCAAACCCCACACAGAAAATATAACTGACCACTATCACTATATCCCCTCAGCTAACTTAAACTGTTCACTCTCACTTTCTCATCTATCTGAGATACTATTTGTTATCCCAATTATTTAATTAAGAAAACAATCAAGTGCTGTTGGTCTGATATTCTACATAAAAAAGTAAATTTACCTCTTGGAATGAATTGATCACCTCCATTTAGAACAACCAGGAGTGTTTGAATGAAAAAAAAAATAGTTATAGATCTTTTCCAGCCAACCTTGACGCTGAGCGCTCTCCTGATGTGCTGACAGATTAAATCTGACACAAGCTCTTTATAATCTGAAAGGTTGGGAGTGGTTTGCATTTTTCAGGCTCAGCCTACAAGTCAACTGACCAAAACAAGCAAATATAGTCCTACTTCCTTGCTATTAAAATGCCACGATTACTTTTCCCACAACCAATATCTTTTTTTTTTTTTTTGTCAGAAAGCACAATGGACAAGTGGAGTTATTGATGACTGCTTCATTTAGTCATACAAAACCTTAAACATCAACAGAAGTGCGGGGCTGTTTATCACTGGTGTCAGAATAAATCAGCTGCCTGATCGAGGTCTTTTTCATTACAAAATTTTGACACACAACTAATGTGGCAAAATGTTTACTGTTATATAGAGGATTTTACCAAAACAATGACAATTCCATTATTTATCAGCATAAAAATGATTTTAGTCTAAAACTCAGTTTTTGCACCACACTTTGTACATTCCAGCGAGTTCACAGTAGGTTGTTAAATATTTTACTCTTTAAGGCTGTTATTGAGTAATTAAAAACTTTGCATTTCTTTGAAGAGATGCATTTTGCCTGTCACCTTTGCAGCTTTTACAGCAGTCACATGGTCGACCTCTTGTAAATAAAACAAAGTCTTTTGCTGTCAAATCCAAAACAGGATGGATAAAGTTAGTGACTCAATTGAATATGATCAATTACAATCTGTACAGTAGGTGATTTTTGTCGCTGTTGCACAATAAATTGTATTTGTATGCTAAGGACATAATGAACTTTATAATAAAAGCCTCTCCACTTGTTTTGCTATCACTTCTATCGTGGACAGAACATAAAAATGCAGGATGTTACAACTTGAACGCAACATGCATCTAGCATGGCTACAATTTTGTCTGTAAGCTTGTAGTAAATAGTCACGTGACCACACACATCGTCCTGAAACTACATTACCCATCATTCCTCTGGAGGTGCGTGCGCGTGACGCTTCATTAGCAAAATATGGCGGCATCCGAACAGCAGACGGATTCCAGCACCAGCGTTCCCGAATACGAATACGTAGATATTAACACCAAACCTTTTCACATCGGCGCTTTCAGAGAAGAATGGCTGTCCAGACTGCGGCCAGAAGACTTTTCCTTCCAGCAGGAGGACGAAGCGACGTTTGAGGCTAACTTTGCTGCGGAGATGGGTCTCGGACCGGAAACAATGGCTGAGCTGAAGTCAGTCTGCAGGTAGGAAGGAGTCTCGCATATCAGGTTTTTAGTTAAAGCATTTATAAACAGCACATGCAGTAACTAATTGGTAACATGTCCGGATTTTCTGTTGTATCAGTCAGAGCCAGAACACTGGATAACGCTACGTCAGAAGCTCTGAAAAGCCAAGCTGACATGTCCCTTCAGTTCAAACCCTAGTTTTGCTTAATTAGCTACACCTGTTTCCTAAAAACAAACCGTGTGGATGACCAGTTAGCAGAAAGTCGGTGCATGTGAGGATCTTGAAGTATTCATTACCATCCTATTCAGGCGACAATTACAAATTCACTAATTCTTATTCCTAAAATATTTTTGTGGTCTTTTTGCACGTTTGTACAATAATCTGTTTTAAAACTTGGGACTGTGAATGCAATATTAGTCACATTGCACGACTAGCATTGGACGTTGAATGATTTTATTTTCTTGTCTTAAACCTCAGTTTTGTTGCAGAAATTGATCTGCAATGTAAAATAAATTAAATTAACAAATTAATTGAACCAAAGCCCGACTGACGACATCATCATTTAGGTTTTTTTTTTATCTTCTGACTTCTTTGTTTCTGTTATAATAGAAAATGATAATCCGAGATGCGTCTTTCCATTTACTTCTTTCAAGTCTTAGTTCAATTCGGTGCCATGCCGAGGACGAGCAGCCCGATACAGAAGTTGTGCCTCCAAACCCAAGGCTGAAAACTTTAATGTATGACTTCCCTCCTTTGTTTCAATGCCCTCTGTCTCAGGTTCTTCAGCGACTTGAATCAGTGTGTGTTTTTTTTAACAGCCACAGAAAAAGGAAGCAAGCTCATGCACCCTCTAATAACGCGCCCAAGAACAGGCATGACCTCTATGCTGATGAACTGGTGAACTGACATCGCTGAAGCAAAACCATTCTGTTCATTATTTATTCTTATTTTAAATTGTTAGTGCATACACAATCGCTGAGCAGATCTAATGCACACTTCTCTGATTTCCAGGAAAAATTAACTATCGGCAGGATACCAGAAGCAGCGGCTGATATGATCCCAGAGGGAGAAGTCATTTTAACCATCAACATCTACTACCCTGCTGTTTATGAAAAAGTGAGCATTTATCTTCTTTCTTTTTATCAAAAGTGCCTCTGTCATTCCTAAATGTTCTCTCTCTGTGTTTGTTCCTAGTTTAACTACGTCAGACCTCACATGACTCTGCTGATGACTGGCTCCCACAGCCTGGCTGAGCTCAGGGACGGTATTTGCTGCGTCAGTGACTTGCAAGTGTGCGGCGAGTTCAGCAAGACGCCAAATACAGCTCTACACTTCATCAGCCAAGTAAACACACACACACACACACACACAGATCACATATATAAACAAGACACACATGTGACTGCACTATCATTTATGAACCTATTTTTTTTTTTTTTTTTGATGTTTCAGGATCATTTCAAATCGGCATTCTTTTTCTTCGAGGGAGTTTTCTACAACGACATGAGATTTGCTGAGTGTCAGGACATCAGCATGTACGTTTTTGTATTTTGACTGAACAGCTTTGTGTTAACCTCTTGTGTTTTTCTCTTACGTGGAACAAAGGCATTTCGAACCTATAAAGTCCCAGTAAAATGCATATTCCAGGGTTTCTGTAGGCACAAGGTCTGAATGTCTTTAAAGAATTCACAAAACCACTCGTAGTCATTTATTCTTTTAGAGCAGGAGTGTCAAACTCATTTTCACCGAGGGCCACATGAACATTATGGTGGCCCTCGAAGGGCCAGTTGTAATGAACTTTGACGTTTCATGTTTAACTTTGACTAAACAGAGTTTTAACACGTCCTCTTTTAAACACTGATAAGAACTAAGTGTATGACTGACTAAATCTGAAATAAATACAGAAATATTATTAAAAGTAAAACAAATAAAGTTTTACTCACCGAGTTTCTAGTGAATAGCTAGTATGCATTATGGCAGATTTAGTTTATGGTTGACTTGATGCTGACTTTAAAGCAGCTTATTTTCAGACATTAATACTGTGCTATCCAACTAAATTGCTCAGTTACTTAAAGCCAACAGCTCAGGAGCAGGACAATTATTATTATCTTTCACCTTTTAAATTTATTTTATTGCGTTTAATCATAAATTTTAAAATTTACCATTGGTATAAGCAGAGTTGCACATAAGTGGTATGCATGTGCGATCAAAAAAGAAAAAGCACACCAGATGGAATGTCATAAAACTCCCCCTAAGATTGTACTTGAGATTGTGAAAACAGCCAGCAGGGTCGCAAATGCAACCTGATTTCTTAAAAACAAATAAAACAAACAAAAAAAAAAATCGAGCCTCACTGGTGTGACTGGATCGTCGTTCTGTGAGAGGAGGGCAGCGGGACCCTAAGGATTAAACAACACTGCTTTCAACGAATCAGACAAACTTCAGAGCCATTTTATCCAATCAGAGCAGAGCCACATTACCTCCAACAGAAGAACATTTATTTGCCCCATATCAAAGCAAAGATAAGTCTGTTTAATGTCACCCCCCATCCAAAAATAAATAAATAGATAAATAAAAACATGCTATGTTCTCTAGGTGAATGAGTTTTAAATGTTATTTTAATTTATCAGAAAGATCCACAAATTTCCTTCTTAACAATTTTATGATAAGAACAAGGTTCTTGATGTGCTAAACGTGTTTATATTTAGAATCATACTGTGACACAGCTGCTCTGGGATAAATGTAATTCAATAAATGATAAAATTTGAAGAATAAATAATTTTAAATGATTACTTGAGCTGAAACCATCTAAATATTATCTTTTTGAATAAAATAGTCTTTTAAAAAAGAAATCAGTCTAACAAATAAAACATTTGTTCTGTGCAAAAGACAGATATTTGCTGCTTGGTGTGGAGAGTGTGGAAAGCTGGTTTAACCAAGGCCAAAGATCTAGAAGGCCAAACTACAGGAGCTATACATCTCAGGGTCATGTGTAATCTAACAGACATTTAAACATGAAATGTTCAGTTTGAGATCATTGGCCACTTAGGTAGTTTACTAAATGTATGCAGAGAGAATGATTTGGCATGATGTCCCGAGACATTGCCAGCTGATAAAAGGCGTCATAAAACAGAACAGGGCGATAATAAATGCCTGGACACCCCTCTAGATAAATGAGTTAAATGAGTGAAGGAAAATACGAGCACCAAGCAACAACCCTAGGTTCTCCCCTGAGAACCAGACCAAAAATTTTATGTGCAACCCTGGATATAAGAATAAATTTTCATGTTTCACGGGTGACTCTCGGCTACACGGGAGTCACCTGCAGGCCACAGTTGGCCCACGGGCCTTGAGTTTGACACGACACCAGTTAGTTGTGAATAAGGCTGTGTGCAAACCTCATGATCTTTGGTGAAAGCTATTATGAGTGATTTATTTCAAGCCTAGGGTGACACTGATTTTCATGGACCTTTTAAATACCAATCTGTATAATAGCATCATTATGACTTCTAATATAATAACAAATTTTAATTTTTTTAAAATATTTTTAAAAGCTAATATTAACATTTATAAAAGTTTTAGGTGTGACTTTAATTGAAACATTGGTTAACCTTCAAAATATTGAATTTTATTAATGTTTGAGTATAAATTTTGAGATGTACTTCTTTGTGCTTCTGATCCAGGACCACTATCGAGTGGGCAAAGGCACACAACTTTCCCACGTTCAGGCAGGCCAAGATGGAGGACACGCGGTTTGTGGATCTGAGAGTCAAAGTGGGATTCCCATACCTCTACTGCCATCAGGGAGACTGCGAACATCTCGTCATCATTACAGACGTCAGGTTGGTGCTCCCGTTCTGTGGTTCCAGTTCTTTACACCTTGTATTATCACCCAACACCAAAGTCAAAAAGAAAGATAAAGTTGCTTTTATCTACAAATTAAAAAGCTAAGGGTTGATTTTTGTTACCACTGAGACATCAGACTCTCAATAACCCTGAAGTACTAATGAAGGGTTTGAAACAAAGCACCTCATTGTCAGACAGGATTCAGCTATTTTCACCAGACTTTAAGGTCAAAATGGAGTGTTTGCGTCAGTGGATGCATAAAAGCCTAATAACTAATGTGCAGTTTACGTAAACAGGGTAACTACACATGAAAGTAATTTCTAATGTTACAAATGCGAGACAAATTTCCAACCAGTTTCTCTGAAATCCTCTTTCCTGTTTTTTTTACGCATTAGACTGGTCCACAAGAATGACTGCTTGGACAAGAAGCTGTATCCACTTCTCACGCACAAACACAGATCCCTCACTCAGAAGTGTGCCATTTGCCATGTCTTTATTGGCAGGTGGGTGAAAAATCTGCAATTTTATTTCCAACAACCAGCCCTTTTAAAGCTGATCTGTCATCTCACGTCTGACTTTTCCAGGTGGTACACCACCAACGACGAGTTTGCCCCCAGTGACCCATGTCTGTTCTGTGAGAAGTGTTTCTTGATGCTGCACTATGACCATGAGGGCAACAAACTGGGAGAGTTCCTGGCTTTTCCTTATGTGGATCGAGCAGCATTTAACTGATGTTTTACAGAGGTGCTCAGATATTGATGCAATGCCCGAAACGACCACAGATTTTGTTTAGAATAACGAATGTTAGTGGCTGTAAATATAAACTTATTTTTGACATTGTTGCACAAGTCATTAGTTCCACTTTGTATTTATTTCTTTGCAATATTATTTTGTATTAAATAAAAAATATAATTGAAGTAGCATAATATTCAGTTTTATTTAAATATGAACAAGTTTTACTACTGAAACCTGACTTTTAATTGGTTTCTTCTTTCAGCAAACAAGGTGACATCCTGTGTGCCGAGTCCTTTGTGTTTACAGAAATTCTACAGCTCATCTGCATAATTTAGATGAATAAGAGACAAAAGGTGTACCATATCTACTGCTTTATTACTAGATGGTGAAACTGGTCATCAGACAGGAACAAAAAAAATAAATCTTATTTACATCTATGTTAAAAGAAAACCTAAAAGATACTCAAACAAAGCATTTTGTTAAGGTAACTTTGGCAATTTTCTTAAGTTTGTGCATTATGAGTCTATGAAACATGCATTACAGAGTTAAAACAGCTACTTTTACATATTTTATAGAGTTGACTGTGAAGTCAAGCTAAGTTAAGTCAAAATGAAATGATGGGACCCCAAATATTTACTTCAATAGAAATGGAAAAAGGAGCCAGATGGTCCAAACCGTTTCCTGTGAGCATGTTCATTAGCATCAACATTCAAGTACTGCAGATTTACAAATATATTCCACACCGACATGAATTCAGTACATCCACAGCAGCTAGCACAAGGTTTCAAGAGTACAAAAATAGAATATGCAGTGAGACATTGTGGGGCATGTGACTGATTCAATTCAATCTTTGAGCAGCAAAAGTGACTAGAAGGTTCAGAAAACTGGACACTATTTTCTTAAAGTTGTATTAATACAGCAGCAAATCTTTCTTCAGGCAAGTTGGTCACTCAGGTGGACTCTTGAACCTTTGAAGCACTGAGGGGACAAAAAACAAAGTTATTGGACCATTCTAGGTAAATTGAGGAGATTTGTTTCAAGCTTCCATGATACAGCGGGTAAAATAAGTATTGAACACGTCACCATTTTTCTCAGTAAATATATTACTAGAGGTGCTAATGACATGAAATTTTCACCAGATGTTGGTAACAACCCAAGTGATCCATACATACAAAGAAATCAAACCATAAATGTCCAGAAATGAAGTTATTTGTAATAATGTGGAATGGCACAGGGAAAAAGTATTGAACACGCTTACTGAAATTTATCTAATACTTTGTACAAAAGCCTTTGTTGTCAATGACAGCTTCAAGACGCYTCCTGTATGGAGAAACTAGTGGCATGCATTGCTCAGGTGGGATTTTGGCCCATTCTTCCACACAAACAGTCATCAAATCTTGAAGGTTTCGTGGACCTCTTCTATGAACTCTGATCTTTAGTTCTTTCCATAGATTTTCTGTTGGATTCAGGTCAGGTGATTGGCTGGGCCATTCCAGCAGCTTTAGTTTCTTTCTCTGAAACCAACTGAGAGTTTCCTTGGCTTTGTGTTTGGGCTCATTGTCTTGCTGAAATGTCCAGCCACGTTTCATCTTCATCATCCTGGTAGATGGAAGCAGGTTTTTATCAAGAATGTCTCTGTACATTTTTCCACTCATCCTTCCTTCAATTATTTGAAGTTTGCCAGTACCATATGCTGAAAAACAGCCCCACACCATGATGTTCCCACCTCCAAACTTCACTGTTGGTATGGTGATTTTGGGCTGATGTGCAGTGCCATTTGACCTCCAAACATGATGTGTTTTCTGGCATCCAAACAGTTCAATGTTGATCTCAGCTGACCAGACTATATTCTCCCAGTATTACACAGGCTTGTCTAAATGTTGTGCAGCAAACTTTAAAGGAGCTTCAACATGCTGTTTCTTCAGCAGTGGAGTCTTGCGTGGTGAGCGTGCATACAGGCCATGGTGGTTCAGTGCATTACTTATTGTTTTCTTTGAAACAATCGTACCTGCTAATTCCAGGTCTTTCTGAAGCTCTCCACAAGTGGTCCTTGGCTCTTGGACAACTCTTCTGATAATTCTTTTCACTCCTCTGTCAGAAATCTTGTGAGGAGCACCTGGTCGTGGTCAGTTTATGGTGAAATAATGTTCTTTCCACTTCTGAATTATGGCCCCAACAATGYTCACTGGAACCTTCAGAAGTTTAGACATTCTTCTGTAACCGATGCCATCATTATGCTTTGCAACAATAAGGTTGTGAAGGTCTTGAGAGAGCTCTTTACTTTTACCCATCATCAGATGKTTCTTGTGTGATACCTGGCCATCATTTGGGACTGAACCAGCTGATATTAACTTGCACTGACAAGGGGCAGGCTTGCTTTCTAATTACTGAGAGAGTTCAGCTGGTGTCTTGGCTTTCCATGCCTTTTTACACCTCCCTTTCTTCATGTGTTCAATACTTTTTCCCTGTGCCATTCAACATTATTACAAATAACTTCATTTCTGGACATTTATGGTTTGATTTCTTTGTATGTATGGATCACTTGGGTTGTTACCGACATCTGGTGAAAATTCCATGTCATTAGCACCTCTAGTAATATATTTACTGAGAAAAATGGTGACGTGTTCAATACTTATTTTACCCGCTGTAGGATGGGAATGAAACAAACTATGCTGTTGCGTTTACCTGTGATTTTCTCCAGCTGAAGCATCTTCATGCTTTTCCATCTCATGTTTCTTCTCTTCAGGACTCACATCTCCATTGGTCATCTTGTCTGCAGGGTGTTAACAGAAACACAGACTCAGTTAGATAGAAAGTCACTGTACAATCTGAACAAACAGACAGGGAAGCTCACAGGAGCATGTGATAACACATGCATCACTGAAGGTTACTGGGATTAATACGATTTACCATCAATTTGGTATGCTTTACTCTTTTAAAGAAAAGACCTATCACAGACATGGATTTTTTGGTATGACTGCATGTACAAAGAGGGATGTCGCTGCCATTTACAGTGTGTTCCTCCTGAGAGAGCCAACCACAAAGAACTCATGATACACCACTGGAAATGAAAGGAAAGCATAAGTAGGGCACCAATGAGTCAGTTTAATTGTTAGGTGTTTAGATGTGACTTGCCGTAGATAATGGATTTATCAATAACAAGCAGAAATTTATAATCCAGCATGATCTAATTTATTCACTCCTTTCTTTTACAACAAGTTTGTTACGATTAAACAAATGTCACTTTTCTGCAACAAATGCATATCTCTAGGAAAATAACATTTATTACTACCATAAAGAAACCCAAATCTGATGATGTGATCATGGTGGTCATATCTGATGATATGACCACCTTTGGTCAAAAGGTATTAACTGAGGTCATTCAGTCATACAACTGATTGTTTTCTAATTCCGGGGTCTGCAACCTTTACAACCAAAAGAGCCAATTGTGCTTCTTGTCTCACTAATAAAATGTGTCCAGAGCCGCAAAACAAGCTACAACTGTGATTATCAACTGGTGGTCCATGGGCCTTTTCAAAGCCTTTCCGGGAACCTTTACTGTCAATGGAGGTGACATTATAAAAGTAAAATTTTTTTATTATTTTATTTATTATTGTACATTCTATTATACCTTCTCAATGTCAAACTCTGTACGCACAGGTCATCCTCGTGAGGTTTTCTCAATAACAAACACACAAATAACCATGCAAGTGTTTCAAGTTTCACTTATTTCCTTTTTACAAAAAAACATGTGTTATTTATGCTACATTTATTAGTGATGGTGAGATGAAGCTTCATGATGCACTGAAGCTTTCCATACAAATAGTATACATACATATAGTCTGATAGACTCGGTTCAATTGAAGACCAAAATTGCAACATTTGTTGACATTCTCCGCTAGTGTGGTTCGCTTTCACGCTGCACTTTCAAACAAACAAGAATTTGCTTTTTTTGCTCCGCAAACTTTGAATACGCATTCACACTTCCCCAAACTAGAGTTTGATTAAAGTGGACTAAACTGGGCTGGTCTGGATGCATCCTTAGCTTCAAGAAACAGAACTAGGAGCTTTTGCAACTCAAGTGAGCAAACTGAGAACTCCCACAATCGTTGCAAATCCTGTTCACCACTACAAGTCATCAGTAGTTGCAACTCGAAGACATACTATTTTTACATTATGCTGTATTCCAAAATAATATAGCACATTCAATAAATGTAGCCACTGTTGCCCATAGTTTCCTGTTTTTTCATGGCATCAATGTAAAAGTTAAAAATAAGCAAAATGTTGGGCTGCACTGCAAAAAAATGTCCACCTAACCAAGTTTTAAAATCTTATATCCAGCCAAAAAGTCTTTTTGATCTTATTTTGAGACTGATTTACTAAACAAGAACTCATTGTGTAAGAATAATAATCTTGTTTTCAGAATGTGTCAGATTATTTGTCTTGTTAGTCTGAAAATTTGACTCAAGTCAAAATTTTCTGCCAATGGAGCAAGAAAATTTTACTTGTTAAGTAAATCAGTCTCAAAACAAGATCAAAAAGACTTTTTGGCTGGATATAAGATTTTAAAACTTGGTAAGATGGACAGTTTTTGCAGTGTGGGCGATATGCCTCCCCCCCCCACACACACACACAAAATCTCAGATTTTTTTCATACTAAATTCGATTTTAATAGATTTTGTTTCTCACTTAACAAAGTGCCTCTGTTTCAGGCGTTGAAACAATTATTTTGTACTCCTGCTTTTTGTAACAAAAGCCTTCAAACAGATTTTGCAGTGAGGTGATTGGTGCTCCAAGTCTGAGGTTGCAAAACCTAACCAGTTCCAGATAACTGAAGAAAAAAATGCTTTTTTTGGGAAGTAGATCCTCTCTGCTAGCTGCCATATTGTCATGTTGTGTACCAAGCATCTTAAGGGACAGGTGGGCTGACTTCTGAACTACAGAATACCAAAGAGGGCACTAGTGGGAAAAAAAAATAAAATCCAGATTTTCCCAAAATTAAATCTTTATAATTCAAATTAATCGATTAAATAGATTTATCGCCCAACCCTAGCAATTTTTTTATATTTAATTTGTGT